CGGGGCGGGGGGCTGCGCTCAGGAGATGTGAGCTCGCTCGCGTCCTGGAGTGACCAAGCAGAGGCTGGCCCATGCCTCACAGGGTTATGATAGAGGGAGTCCAGCCTCAGGAGGGTGTCAGGGCTGCCTCATTGCCCAGGCCCCTTCCGATCTGAAATTCTCTGAGGCTGTGGACCACGTGTGATGGCGGGAGGGATTTAGGATGGCCCTCTAAGAAGAGCAGCTCTGGGCCCAGGGCGGCACGGATGCCAAGGGAAGGGGAGAGTGCCGTGTGCAGGTTCAGACAAGGCAGCATCACCAGGAGGAAGTGTCCAGGGGTGATCCTCAGGGCAAGGCACCCCAGAGACAGTGGGTTCAGGGGGGTAGCTGATGTGCTCTGGAAACGAGACCAGGACTTCGGGACAAGATGAAGACCAAGGCACCAAATGAGCCTCCGTGAGCCAGCTGGGGCTGTGTGCGAACTGGGCCACGCTGCATCAGGAAGAGAGGGACAGACCCAGTGGCAAGGCGACCACAGCCCTCAGCGAGCAGGAAGGGAAAACGCCCAGCAGGAAGGAGTGGGAATGGCTCCCTGGCGGAGCCCGGACGACCACCAATTCAGCCACCACTTTCTTCACGCTCCTCTCTTCAAAAGGGTTACAATATGGACGATTTGGGAAAGTAAGTCCACATTGTCTGGGGGAAATGGGAAAGTCAATAAAATGGAGAAAGAAGCCACGTCTGACGGAACTGCTTGGTTTTGTTTCTGCGGCGCCTGTACCGGGCGGGGTACGGGAGGAACTGCTGCATCTCAGGGAAAAGCCACCAGCCGAGGCTGAGAAACCGTGGGAATGCGATGACCACTGAGATCTGGTAACGGGCAAATGTTCTCAGAGGGAAAGCAGAGCAACACTGAAAATTCTAGTCCATCAGCTTCACGGAAAATACCTGCAAAGGTGACCGAATCAGCGCTGTCAGTCCGCCTGCAGGCAGGTGCGACTGTGCTAGTGCCAGGCCCACATCCTGCATCCGGAGGGAGGGCCAGGCTGCCCGTGTGCACCCCAACAGGGAGAACTGCCCCTTCATGTCTCACTGTGCAGACAGCCAACGGGCAACATGAAAGCGGAGAGGAAAATAATGAAACAGAAGAGGGGTCTGTTCCACCAACGACTTCTCAGGTTGGGGTCTACTTCCCAGAAAGTAAACAAATGCTGACAGGACAGCTTGTTGAGAGGCTGGGAGGGAAGCACGGGACCCAGGGTGGGTGTCAGAGTGAGTTCCGCTCCTGGCCCAGCTCAGCAGGTTCCATACTTGACCGACCACAGGGGATTTTTTTCTAAACAAAGTCTTTACAGAAGCTCTACATCGGCAAGATGGAAGAGTGGTCACCCTGGTTGGAGGGTGGGGCTGGTGGGGGACCAACTGGGGGCGGGGAGGTGGGCATTCCACCCACCATCCTCCCCCTGAGGAAGCTGGGTCTCCTCAGAAGCATCAGAAAGACCACAGGGCTGGATGCAGGATCGGAGAACAAGCTGACTGAGTGTGGCAGTGATTACAGACGAGGTAGAGTCAATAAAACAGAGGAGGCAGGAATGCTCCCCATGAATAACCGTGAACAGGGGTGAAAAGAATTCACTAGACCAAAGCACTAACTCAAAACGGCCAGTGCAGGCGGCGGAGAAGGCGGGCTGGGAAGTAAGGGTGGTGCGGATACGAATGGGCTCCCCTCTTTTCCTCCTCCCCTAACTCCTCCTCCTCCCGCACCATCAGAGGCACATGCAGATGGGGAACACAGATCCAATGAAATCTGTGTAGCCCAGGTCTACCCAAGCAGCTAGGAGGAAAGAGGGAAATCTGTTGTGGTTTAAGTACTGTAGACCACATGTAGCTTTGGTCTGGCTTCCATAGACTACACACGTGCCTCAAACAATGACTTTGCCTCAGCTGATAAAGAGAAAAGATCCTTTTGGTGTTCAGAAAAAATGTTTAAGGGGCCCTTTTAGCTATCATGTACTTTTTTTTAAAGGTTGTTTTGACTCTTTTTATTGTGGTAAAATATAAATGACATAAAATGTGCCATGTTATTCATCTTAAGTGCACGATTCAGTGGCATTAATTACATGCACCATGTTGGGCAATCATCACTGCCATGTCTTTCCAAAACCCCTTCATCACCCCAAACAGAAACTGTACCACTGGCCAGTAACTCCCCATCCCCCTCCTTCCGACCCCTGGTGTCCTGTAATCTACTTCCTGTCTCTATGAATTTGCCTATTCCAGATATTTCATATAAGTAGAATCATGCAATATATGTTCTTTTGTGTCTGGCTTCTCTCACTTAGCATGATGTCCTCAAGGTTCAGCCATGTGGTAGCATGTGTCAGAACATCACTGCTTTCTATGGGCAGATAACGTTCCATTGTATACATATACCACTCGGCTGACCTGTCCATCTGCTGATGGACACGGGGCTGCCTCCACCTTTTGCCTCCTGTGAGTATGTGGTGTGCTCTTACAGCCGTGAGATGAAGGAAGCAGGGCTCCCACTGGGGAACTAGCAGGCTGGGGGTGGGGAAGGCTTGAAAATGAAAGAGAGGACCCAAGGCAGGAGGTGCCTGAACACAGAGCCTTGAGGGAGAACCAGTGGAGGGACAAGGAACCAGGATGAGCCTGTGATGCAGCAAAGCCACCGGCTTCCAACATGGCTCCACGTGCCAAGTGACCCAGCCCGCCTGCGCCTCCCTGGGCATCCACTTCAGGGGCACCTCCCTGGGCACCTGCTCAGGGCCACCTGCTCAGGGAGGGCTGCACCACGCCAGATCATTCCCAAGGCCTTCCGGTTCGGACAGTCAGTCCACCAAGACCTTGCTATCAGGTGATGAAACAGTTAACACCCTCATGAAGGACCCCTTCCGGAAGAAGGACATGTGCCCACTGAGGAGTGTGCAGGGGTGATGGCAGGGCCTGGCCCACCCGACCCCAGCCCAGGGGCGTGGCTCCGAGCGAGTGTCAGGAGGAGCAGAGAAGTGGCCAAGGCAGAAGCTGGAGGGGCTGGTCCCTGCCTGGGCACAGAGGGCTCTCTGGGACCGACTGGCCCCTCCACCCAGGGAATTCTGAATCGACTGGAAAGAAAAGAAGAGCCAGACTTGGTGGATAAGGAAATGGGAACCTGTACTTGCTACAATGGACCCGAAGAGCCTGTGGCCAGGTCCCTCCCAGGACACAGCTGGCTGGTGGGCACAGCACGCCCCAGAGAAGGCGTGAGAGGGAAACACAGGACAGGGCCTCGTGCCCACGTTACCCGCTGTGTGGCCCTGACTGAACCACTCACCACTCTGTGCCTCCTCCTCGTCCATACGATGAGCAGCTCCAAAGCCATCATCTCCTCGGTCCCCTCCGGGGCCCATTCCAGGGCCCACGGGGACCCTGAGGGGGGTGGTGAGAGGTCCCTTCCACACCCATTCTTTCAGCAAATATCTGACCACTGCTTCATGCCAGGCACTGTGCTAGGTGCCCTTCCTCCACCCGCCGGACACCGAGGGACAGACAAGAGAGGGGGCGACACCATCTTCTTGTTGCAAAGATCTATGAAGGCTGATTGCACAGTCAATGCAAACGAGGCTCCACGGACAAACCACCCCCTCAGTCCAGCCTGCAGCCCAGGCCAGCCGAGAGCTGTGACCCAGCAACACACCCCCCGATCCGGAGGGGCCCGTCAGTGGGCTGGGACGGAAGGGAAGAAGGAGGCAAGGAAGGGTGCCAGCCAGACTCACCTTCACGCAGGAGTAGATCACGGACACAAATACCACCAAGGTCAGCAGCACGAAACAGGTCAGGTAGAAGCTCAGCATGAACACGGAGCTGAAGGAGAGAGGAGATGACGGGATGGAAGTGCAGTCATGTCCAGGAGGCGGGCGACAGCTTCTCACGGGCTGTCCCGCAAGCCAGCTGCAGCGCCCTCCTCACAGTTCTGGGCTGGGGCTCTGAGCGCCCCTGGGAAGGAAGCAGAAGTGGCTCCATTTCCCCTGCTCCCACCGCCCAGGCTTCCCTAGTCCCTGACTCGCTCAGAAGGGCTCACGCAGCCTTGCGAACCCATCTAGGACCCTCCTCTGTGACAGTCTGGCTCCTGCCCTTCCCACACTCCCACGCCTTCTTGCGGAGCAGCAGCCACAGGGCGCGGAGTGGAGAACCGGGAGAAACCTGCTCAGCACTTTGCCAAATTCTTAGCTATCCACACACTCCCTCCATTTACCTTAGGTATCCACACACTCCCTTCATTTATCTTGGAAGGACTCATCTTAAAAATCACTTGGCCCTGGCTGGTTTGGCTCAGTGGATAGAGCGTCAGCCTATGACCTGAAGGGTTCCGGGTTCGAGTCCGGTCAAGGGCATGTACCTTGGTTGCAGGTATACTCCCAGTGGGAGGCGTGCAGGAGGCAGCAGATCAATGATTCTCTCTCATCATTAATGTTTCTATCTCTCTCACCCTCTCCCTTCCTCTCTGAAATCAATAAAAATATATTTTTAAAAAATCACTTGGTTATTCCCTCCCTCCAAGCAGCCACCCATGGCTCGCTTGATAACTACGAAGGCTGAAACTGATTTGATAAACAGCCATCTTTATAGAAATGCATTTGTCAAGCTGCTCAACCAGTCACTCTGAGAAACAGCAGTCATGTCCCTTCGAAGGGCAGAGCCCCTAAACCCTGTCCCCTCCCACTGCCAAGGCCCCCAAGGCCTGCTCCATTTGTGCTCTCCGATTCCAACCAGTTCAACAAAAACTGAGGCAGAGCACAGGTGACCTTAACGTCCACCGCAGACCAGAATCCTCAGACAAAAGAGCTGCAAGTGACTTTGCATCTGGAACCTTCCACTGGCGCTCCTGGGGCAGGGGCTGGCCGAGGAGAGGCACACCCCACCCCGTCACAGGAGAGAGGCCACTGAAATCCCTTTTTTCTCAGGGAGGGCAGTGGCCCGGGGATGCCAGGCATGTTGGCAGGTTGAAGGCAAGTGATGGGTTTGAGGAGGCAGGGGAGGCCTCTAGGGAGGCGTTCAAGTGAGGTCTCTGTTCCAGGCTCCTCCGGAAGCCAGCACTTAGCTGCTCTAAACAGCCTGAACAGGGAAGAGAACTCTCTTCCGAGCGAAAGGAAAACTTTTAAAGTAGCTTTTAGCTTCTACAGAGAGAGGACGCTAGAGAATGACCTCCCTCGATGCCTTAGCAACCTGGCGCTGCGGCCTGAGGAGGGAACCAAGCAGCTGGAGGCAGGCAGGGTGTTGGGATAACACCCCCCCCTACCCTGCATCCGCCCACCCAAGCCGAGCTGCAGGATTGTGCAGCCAAATGAAGGCGGCTTTTATTTGCAACGGGACAGAAAGTCTAGGTTGCTTATTTACACCTGTAGCTCCCTTCAATTCAGAAAAAATGGGGTCCTATGCCCAGAGAACCCATAGCCCCAGCAGCTCTGCACACCTCCGTGCCGGGCCTCCAGGAGCAGCTGCTGCCAGGGTCTGGTTCTCGGCTGCAGAATCCTGGCAGAGTCACAGCAGGTAAAAGGTGAGAGCCAGCTCTTCAACAGAAAGTGCCATTAGAAATAAAAGGCATTGAGTAGCGAGACACGTGGGCATCACATACCTCCTGACAGGAGGCACTGAGGGCATCGCTGCTGTGGGTTCTTGTCAAAAAGCATAACCTCAACGTGATCATGAGACAACATCAGGCAAACCCAAACGGAGAGACAGTCTACACGTTCACTGGCCGGTGCTCATCCAAAGGGCCACGGCCATGAAGGACACGAAAAGGCTGAGACAGTCTCACAGATTCGGGGGGACTAAGCAGATACAGCGGACTGCAGTGTGGGGTCCTGGACTGGCTCTTGGGCCACAAAAAGGCTATTTGCGGGCACCCTGATGAAATTAGAATATGGTCTGTAGATTAGTTAAGAGTATCATTGTAGTGTTCAGTTCCTGGGTTGGACTATTCTACTTAGGTTATGTAAGTTGTCAGCATTAGGGAAATTGGATAAAGGATGTAAAGAAACGCTCCGTAGTATTTTTGTAACTTTTCCGAGTCTACAATTATTTCAAAATGAAGAACAGAAGGCGTTTGGGTGAGGGGACTCTTCTAGATTAAGTTGGACTTCGGAGACATAACCGAAGGCAACCAGTGGGTCCTGAGTAGGTCCTGGCTGTGAATAAACTAACCGTAGAAGGCATTTTGGAAATCTGAACCTGAACATGGTATTAGATGTTCATGGCAGAGAAATGGTGTTAACTTTGTTTGGTGTATAAGGCAATGTGGTTAAGAAGGAAAATGCCCTTAAAATAGGTGTATATTGAGGTTTTCAGGGGCAAAATGTCCTTGTGCTTAAAATTTACTTTAAAAAACAGAACAAAAAAACAGAAAAGCTCTAGCAGGTATGGCTCAGTTGGTTGAGCATTGTCTCATGCATGGAAAGGTCGCCAGTTTGATTCCCAGTCAGAGCGTCTACCCAGGTTGCAGGCTCGATTCCTGGTTGGGTGTGTGCGGGAAGCAGCTGATCGATGTCTCTCTCTCTCTCTCTCTCTCTCTCTCTCTCGCCTTCCCTCCTTCTCCCTTCCTCACTCTCTAAATAAGCAATTAAAAAATATATATTTCAAAAATAAAAAGTAACAGAAAAAATGTAAAATATTAACAATTATTATGTCTAGGGCAGTGGTTCTCAACCTTCCTAATGCCTCGACCCTTCAATACAGTTCCTCATGTTGTGGTGACCCCCAACCATAAAATTATTTTTGTTGCTACTTCATAACTGTAATTTTGCTACTGTTATGAATCGTAATGTAAATATCTGATATGCAGGATGTATTTTCATTGTTACAAATTGAACATAATTAAAGCATAGTGATTAATCACAAAAGCAATATGTAATTATATATGTGTTTTCCGATGGTCTTAGGCGACCCCTGTGAAAGAGTCGTTTGACCCCCAAAGGGGTCGCGACCTACAGGTTGAGAACCGCTGGTCTAGGGGATGGGTAATAATTATATTAATTACTTTACCTTTCTGCATGTTTGAAATATTGCATAATAAAAAGTTTAAAATGTGGAGCAGTTTATTTTCTTGCCTAGGCACGACCCTACTGTGAACGACTAACACATCATTTCTAAAATCCCACTGCCACTCAGAGTGGTCCCCTAGGAAGCCACGGGCCTCTTAGTGACACAGCCAGTCCTCAGAGAGTTCAGGAGCATGTCTCTGAGAAAGCTTTCAGAACCTAAAGTCCATTGTTCAAATTATCCAGCGTAGCAAATAGCCTTTATCTTTGAAAGATGTGTTGCTTTTTTTTTTGCAAAAACCAAAGGCCATGCGGAAAGGAGCCTGGCCAATCTGAGTGATTCAGTGGGCACCGTGGTGTGGAGACCCCACACGGCGGGGCAGTGCCTAGGGAGAGGTTTCCACCCTCGAATGAGCACGTGGCCTCCCAGTGACAGAGGAGTCAGGCTCCCGGCTTCCCGGTCCATAATGGACATGTTTGGAAACTTCTCTCCCTGTTGAGCAAGTTCAGCCCAGATTCCCGCCTCTGCTCCACTACATGACCTCCCTTCAAACGCCTGGAGACCCCGTAGCCGGAGGAGGAACCCAAGGAGGATGGGTACTCACTGGGGCACGATGGTGATCTGGACAAAGCAGATGAAGAGGAAGACGAGCGAGGCACACGCCACGTAGGCACCGAATCGGTCGTCCACCTGCTTGGAGTACTGAGAGGACATGGCAGAGTGAGGGCCAGAGGCACCAGCCCTGTCCGCTCCAGCCCCGCTCCATTCCCGACACACCAGGCAGCCCGGTCCCAGGATTGGAAGACCCGAGGACCAGTGCGAGCCCGAGCTCTTGGGAAACCAGCCCAAATCACCATAAGGTGATGCTTGTGGGGAGAGGAGTTGAACTGTGTCAAACCAGAAACTTCCCACAGGCCAGTTCACAGTGGGAGTAATTCATAATGATCACGGCTAAAGTTACCGAGCACCGTCTACATGCTAGGACACGCATCATCGTGCACCTGGCAAGCACACTAGGAAGTAGGTACAGGACCGCTGCTGTTTCAGAGAGGAGTAAGATGGGGCTCAGAGAGGTCACAGAACTTGTCCAAAATCACACAGCTCATCCCCAGAGTCCTGACCCCCAGCCCCAGCTCCCCCCACACCAACCAGCCGCTCGAGCAGAGGCTGGGCTGGCACGGAGTCCCCAGAGAAGGTGATCCATGTCTGTCCATAAGTGTAGTAGACAGAGTACGTTCCCTCCTATCCCTTTCTCTCCTACTTATGGTTGCTTTACTCGATGACGACAGGAGTTCCCATGAGCTCATTTTAACCGAGCATCAGGAAGACGCGGTGACATGGAGCAAAGACCCTGAGCCCGGGACTGGTTTTGGCCCTGTCACTACTTCACCGGGTGGCCCAGGGCACACCTACTAGCGCAATACGTGAGCTTTAGCTCTCTCGGTCATGCTTTAAGGAGACTGACTGCCCCTTCCAATTTCAATACTTTGAGGTTCAGTGTAGCTCGGTGGTCCATTGGCAATGATAATGATAACAACACAACAAAACTAATACAAATAGCAACTAACATTTATTGAACACATATGATGTGGCAGATACTGTTGTATGTGTTTTAAATATATGGACTTGCTTAATCCTCAGTATGACCCTTTGAGGTAAGTATGCTAAATATCTCCATTTCCCGGCTAAGGAAATGAGGCACAGGAGGTTAAGATTTATTCCTGCCAAACAAGGAGGTCTCCCTAACATCTGCAGCTCCTGGGTAGTGCAGCATCAGTGCTGGGGAAGCGGAGGGGACGAGAAAGGCTTTTTCAACAGTGATGGAGACGGAGGGAGCTGGCCATTGCCTTGTTTCCCTCCCGCTGGCTCTGGTTCTGCGTGGAGCCTGCTTCCCACTCAGGCTGCCTACCTTCTTCTCTAAGTCAGGCTCCCTGAAGGTCAAGAGGAACTTGCGAACATGCTCAGACCGCAGCCTGTCAATGCTCCTGGCGTCAATGGCACGGCCCAGAAACTCGTCCACTTCATCCTCGGGGTTTGCACTTTCCTGGGCGTTCCTGGGGAGCAAGAGGGGCAGACACCAGGCAGGCTGACCACCAGGGGGCGCTGCTAACCGGTGGCTCTGCCTGTGCTCAGGGATTCAGGAGAGAGACCCAGATCAGCCCTAATAAGATGTGGGGAAGATGAGACTGAGGCCAGGACCCCCTCCTGACACCTGCACACATGGGTAGAAAACTGCCTAAGTCTCAGATCCACTGGCTTTTCTGACTCTATTGATGTATTAGTACGTTATCATAAGACTAGAGGCCCAGTGCACAAAATTCATGCACAGGTGGGGTCCCTAGGCCTGGCCGGTGATCAGGGCCAATCAAGTTCTCTGCCTCCGCACCTCCCCACCTCCTCCTCCTTCCCTCACTGCCTGCACACCGCTACCCACCCCCGGTTCCCCATCCCAGCCTGGGGGCCCGGCCCCATTCAGGTGATTGAAGCCTGCCGGCCAGGGGGAGGAGCCAACAGGTTGGCCGGCAGGCCCCATCGGTGATTGGGGCCTGCGGGCTGGGGGCAGCTTCTGCCCCCTGGCAGTGAGTGTGCGTCTTAGCAACCAGTCGTCCAGTTGTTCTGGTCATTCCATAGTAACAGTCACTTAAGCTTTTATATATATATATATATATATATATATATATATATATATATGAGTTGCTAAGGAAGGTTTAATTGTTTTCTCCCCACAGGTAACAGTCTCTGCTCTGTCCTTTCTGGCTGTACCATCATTCAGAAATGAAAGCCGAGATCAAGAGGTGAGACTTCTGCCCAGGGACTGTGGCCACCCGGTGCTCTAACCTGGCTCAGGCACTCTCTGGGAAGGCTGCATGATCTTTGGGTGCTGAACTAAAATGATGTGGAATTTCTGACAGCCCCTGAGAACTGGGAAGTGACATTCCCTCAGGGCACTGGGATGTTGCCAGGCACTGTGTGTGACCACTGTGGCAGGCCTGCACTTTTCCTGCGAGCTGCACACACATGTGTGTGTGTGTACACATGCATGTGCAGAGTATGCACACATGTAGTTTTGTGTGTGCACATGTGTGTGTGTGTGTGGAGTGGAGATTGAATATGGGCAGTGCCAGGCCCGGCCTCTCTGCTGGATGGCCCGGGTTGACCATCTCTTACCTACGTGGCTCCAGACCATCACCCCAAAATTGCATGTGGGCTCCCTTCCCCC